AGCAACAATAACAACAACAACAACAACAACAACAACAACAACAACATCAACAACGACGACGACAACATCAACAACGACGACGACTACAACAACAATGACGACAACTACCAAACGTACACGGCAGAAATCAATTTATTCAAAACAGTATGTACTACTCAAGAAAAAGTAAAGTGTAAAGCATGGACTCTGATTTCCAGAACATTGTGGTAGTGACACAAAAATTATAACGGAACTCATTTTCAGAGTTTTGTGAGAAATATGAAACGTCTAGAATCTAGATTGAAACGTAAGCAATGCATGGTTGTTCTTCTTTCTTGAATCAAACAAAGTTTGAAATAATTAAAAAAAAAAAAAAAAAATTTTTTTTTTAGGTAAGTGTTTTACTGCCCTCGCAAATGCCTAAGGTCATATGAGCGCGCAGGACACATCAAATATTTTTAGTTGGTAGGAATATTTGAATTTTACCTGTGTGGCGGCCGAAGTCTACTCTTCGATTTTAGACCACCAAGGGATCTTTAACGTGCGCAGCTTGTCTGAGAAGACTAGGTGTAGATCTTTCCTACCAGAAGTTCAGGGATGTGGCTGAGATACAGCGGTAAGAAGGAGCCAAGGAGAAGCAGTAGAAAGGCTGTTGAAAGAGTCAGGAGCCCAGAGGAGGGGGCAAAGGAGGTGAGGGGGTGGGGGCAGAAAAAGGACACGAAAGCAGATGACAAAACATTGCTAAAGAGCAGGGAAGGAAGTGAAAGGAGACAATTTTGTAGAAGAATATTTTTTTCGGCTGCTACCCGGATTCGAACCTGGGACCTTTGAATGTGAGGCGAACACCTCAACAACTAGGCCACGAGATCCCCCTCTGATTTTAAGAACATTATGATGAGGACACATAAATTATAACGGTACTCATTTTCAGAGAGTTTTGTATGAAAAATGAAATGTCTAGATTGAAACATTGAAACATAAGCAATGAGTGGCTGTCTGTTCTTTTTTCTTGAACCAAACTAAGTTTGAAATAATTATCTTTAAGGTAGGCTACTCATTGAAACAGTCTAAGACGGCTATCCCTTGTTGAGGAGACAGATAAATGGACGTCTTACACAATGTCGATATAGTGAAAAAAAGCGCACCCATTGGGGAGAGGGATGAGGAAATGGAAAGTGGGCATTTGTAGAGCTGATTATTTCTTACAGGTGGCTTGATGATGCACTGATTTTTAGGGTACATTTAAAAACAAATATAACTTCCTTATATATATATT